AAACAAAATTGAAACATGTGCATCCCAGGTAAGTTATTTAAAATGAATTTTAAAAATCTGCTACCCGTGGGATCAGCAGTTAGTGTAATGGCTATGTCACTGGACTCCCATGTAGTCGACTGCGGTTCAAGTCCCAGACCCAGTGGCTTAAACTCATGCTGGGTGTGTGTACGTGTGTGCCCAAGATCCAGAGAGGAGAATGGAGGAGAAAGGATTTCGGTATGGCCATACCCCCTGGGAGGTGATGGGAGGTGATACCTTCTGTCTCTCTGTCTTTCTGGCGAAAGCACATGCCCTATAGCAAAAATTTCTCCCTCCCCACCTCCACAAAAAAAAAAAAAAAAGAAAAAAAATCTGCTACCCTTACCATATGCCAAATATGCATGTATGAAACAATCCAGCGATTACATTCTCTAAAAATGTGTGTTGAAATCTACTCATATTATATCTAGTTCTCCCATTGCAATCCCTTACCTGCAGCAGAATCCCAATAAAGCATGATTCCATTCAGAAGAACGGGGTGTGGGGAAGGGTGGTAATTACTTATTAACTAAAAAGAACCCCAAGGAATATGGAGAAAGAATATTTCCTCTTAGAAAGTAAAAGAGAGATTGATTTTCTGCCTTAAATTTACCTGGTGTACATATCTCAATGTATAAGTTGATAGGGCACAAAAGTAGTTTAGCATCCCAAACAAAATAGGTTTCCCCCCTAGTTTTGGAGGCATACTCCTAGAGCAGGGAGAAAAGTAATTAATCATTCACTGGCCAGGTGAATCAACTTGGACATTAGGAGCATGACATATAGTGATAGCGATAAATATCAGATTATAAGGTGTTTTTTTTTTTTTGGAGAGGTTTTCGCTATAGGGCGCATGTGCTCGCCAGACAGAGAGAGAGAGACAGAGAGACAGAAAGCGAGAAATCACACCCCAGTGGGGATAGCCACGCCGCAATCCCTTCTCCTCCGTTCTCCTCTCAGGATCTTGGGCACACATGCACACGTGCCCGGCGTGAGTTTTAAGCCACCGGGTCCAGGACGCGAACCGTGGTCGACTACATGGGAGTCCAGTGTCATAGCCATTATGCTAACTGCTGGTCCCACTACATTTCTTTAAATATGTTATTTTTAAGAAAATACAAACATTTTGTCACTCCCACACACCTACCCAACCACCCTCTACACAGGGAAAAATATGTTAAAGACAAAAGAAAAAAGATTATAAAGATTTCTTCAAAAAAAAATCTATAATCTTTGCTTTATAGAAAAAAAAGAAAGAAAGAAAGGAATAAAGACAGAAAAACTGAAAATATAAACTTAGAGAAATGAGAATAAGTCACTCGATAAGTGCTAGCACTGAGCATCAGGATTCATAAACAACTATCTTTATCACATTTGAATTAATCAATTTCTAGGTTTAGCAAGAAATAACAATATAAAAATAACAAGCTAAATCCAAACATTGAAAAAAACCTAATGTAAAAAAAGAAGTTTAAAATGTGTGTTCTTTTTTTTTGGGGGGGGGGGGGTTTCGTAACTGGCCTGCTGCCTA